ATCTAACTCTCGTTTTGAATCGGAAATACATTGAACTGCACGTTACGACGGGTATTGTAAATTGTGATTCAATGTGTCGTTTTATATAGAACTTATAATCCGATTCGTGTTTTACAGAAGAAATATTAGAATAGTTTAAGACAATTGTTCGAAATGGCTGCACCTGCACATCCGGAAAAACCGTCACCTAAGTACCGAGTGTATCGACGCCGGTGGATTATGTTGGCCCTTTTTATGGCATTTGGATTCATGAGCACGAGCCAGTGGGTACAATATTCTATAATAGCGAACATTGTTATGAGATATTACAACGTATCAAGCTATGCTGTCGACTGGACTTCTATATTGTTCATGGCAGTTTATATACCACTTGTCTTCCCAGCGACGTATTTTTTCGACAAATTGGTAAGTAAAATTTCCTGTATGTATTTTGAGGATTAATAATAAAATATCCAAAAATTTATTATTTGAAAATGTCATAACAATATAACGAACATATGTAACACAAGAAAAATTATACGGTATTATGATCGCGAAAGTGAAGAAATAAAGTAGGCCTAATCAGAATCAAATAATTGTGATATAATGGCCTGGAAATGTTATATCGTTTCAGAGGTCTTTATTATGCAAAAACGGGATACATTACTTGAGATTGCTTATTTTCCTTCACCTTAAAGTGCCTTTTATGATACTTGTAATTATAAAGAAAACTAAAAAAAATTACTCATTATGCATTGTCACTTATACATAACACTTCATTACGTATTGATTTCAATTTTAGGAATGCAATAAATAAATTGAGATCCTGTATCATTTTCCCTAGAATAACAATAGTTTTCTTGTATTTTTCACTATCTTTTCAAATCGAAATATAATATTGAAGCTTTGTACTTAATTGTAAGTGGTTCCAATTTTCACAAATATTGATGACAAGTTTACTGTCAAAAGACAATTTAACATTCTTAAGAATGCAGTTTTGAAACTCGGAATTTAATAGTATTGGAGCAGAACTTAGAATTAGGCCTAATAAATCTATACTTTTTGGCACTTGGAAAAACCTTAATTAAACTCTTCTTGAAAAAAATCTCTTCCAACTTAATATATGAACCATTATGTTAATTTGATTATTTTCTACATTATGTATTACAACTCCTAGATAGATCCGGTAATAAGATTTTTTGGAGAAAATGTTGACTGACGATTATAGAACCAAGCTTATTTAATACTTCTCTTCAGATTTTGTAAACAGATCGCAAGAGACTCCGGAATGTGTTAGCAAGATATTTTGTTGGACTTACTCATGTATGAAGATTCAACTTTGATAGCCAGGAGACATTTATGATATTTCCACGCAATTTGCAAAAGCTTTCTTATGTCGTGAATTGAAAAAAAATGTTATAATACCGATTTATAAGATAAATTTACGAACGTTATGACGACTATTAATACCTATGTATTGACACACATTCAATACGAAAGAGTGTGTGTTATGTTGTAGTATTGAGAATGCTGGATGTGCAGTGATAATTAAGAACTTCTTTTACATCGTTTCATTGTAAAAACAATATTGTACAATTGAAATGGTTCAATAGAAATGAAATATGCTTTCTGGAATCCGCTTCGTATTCAGTAGAGAAGTTGTGTATAGTTAAATGTTTCAAAAGGATCATTCGAACCTATTGGGCATAGATGCGAGTGGGACAACCATTTCCAAACTTTTACATTTCCTCTCTAAACTAGAAGTAAGATCTAGTTGTGACTTTACGGAGATCATTAGGATAGGAATGTTATTTGGGGAGAATGGGAGATACCATGAAGCCCCTGTGAAAGTATCAAAATTTTCTGGAAAGTGGATCAAAAAACAAGGAAAACCTAAAAAACGTAGAGGGAAGGTGTGGAGAATGCCAAGGCTAGAATAGAGTTATCTGCAACAGACTAAAATGGAAACTGGGATGCAAGAGACCGCTAATAGTCTAAAATTATCTCAGTACTACTACCACTTTCATAGCCCTACCCCTACTTCTACCATTCTGGATATCGGATCCAATTCCTGGATAAGTAGATTGCACACAGTTGGCTATTAGTCCCAGAGTTTCGTGGAAGGATTAAGATATAGATGTAATACTCTTGGGAGTCAGAATCCCGCATGTCTCAAACATAACCGAAAACGTTCATGACTTTGTTCGTGGGATTGAACCCAAAACTTTAAGTGTTCGCGTATTTTAACTGACCCTGTCTTATCAGGTGAAATCAATTGACCAAACCATTTGTAAAATATGTTACGTTAATGCAACATAAAGTAATAATAATAATAATAATAATAATAATAATAATAATAATTTTGGGGTACTTTACATGAAGCCACCGGAAAGTTTCAAAATTTTCTCAAAAACCGCTCTAAATATTTTCCTTTAAATTTCTTGTGAAATAGAGTAAAATACACTTATAAATGTTGCGGAGTTCAGATTTTTACGCTTAACTCTGACTTTTCAAAAGTTGCAAAATTTTGAATTTTTTGCGGCGTCTTCCTACAACTAAAAAATTAAAGATAGAGATTTTTCCTTCAAATAACATTTGTTGTCTATCATTTTTTCAGGACGTGCAAATTTGTTTGAAAATTTTAGTACTTATCGCCCAATACAGAGTGCAATATGTGCAATTTAAAAAAAATAACATAAATGAGATTTTCTGAAAAACGATTCCAAATTTTGACTTTAAAATTTTGGTTGTAAAGTGGTAAGGTGGTAATAAAGTTTTTCCAAAACTTAAAACTTATCTGTGAAAAAGGGTGAATTTCGAATTTGCAGTAGCGTTTAAAATGCCGTTTTCTTAAAAACTGCTCCATCTTTTCAAAGAAAATTATCATTTAGAACGAGGTTTTACCGTTCTTTAATATTCTTAAAATAAAATATTCTACAATTAGGAAACCGAATAATTAGAAAATGTCAAAAAAATGTTCTTTGTGTGGTAATAGATGACAGCTGCCAAGAGTATGTGGCAAGTTGGAATAGCCAGCTAGACCAAAGAAATAGGAAACTAACACGAGAAAATCTGTGCCATTTTGTAGCACCATTAGCTCTCACGAAAGATGTAACTTAAAGATAGATTTTGAAAGGCCTCGTACGATTTTTCTAAAAAATTTAGTGTCTTTTGCGTGAAAAAACGGGTGAGAAAGTACGTGCTGTTTTAGCACCACTAGTTATGAACTTGACATTAAATTGCATGTAATAGTATGTTTTATAACTTTAATTGAATCTTAATATTTTGTTTATTGATGTGTACGCATTTCTCGGAATTAGTTGTGCGGCCCTCTCCTTCATTTAAAACAAAAAACGTGGCCCTTGGAGCGGCGGAAGTTGCCGACCACTGCATTAAAGGAATATCGTCAAAATCCAGAATCTGTTCTTTGTTTCGCAACTTATACAGTATCCATAAAAGGCTTCAGTATTATGAGTTTCTTCGGGGTTCTGGAAACAGGGAAAGGCAAATGTGGTTTATTGTCACCTAACACGGGACGTCACGCCAAGTTATGGACACAATCCAAAGAAACAATCAATAGAACGATGCCCAATGATTCTTTATTGTCAGATGTAAACTTCTCTGGGAGTGGTCAAACGTCTCAACTATAATGAAGCTGTAGCATAATGAATGTCATTTTGCAAATAGTTGCAGCCATCTAATGAGAGAATAATGTAATGAGAGTAGAAAATTTATAATATTCTTAAAGCTGTCCGTGTTCTTTAATGCACGGCATTTAATTAGCTTTGTAGCAGTAATAAGTTTATTATTTTACTAAACGCTTGTCTACCACCCTTTTGTGATTTTTTTTTTAAAAAGCTGGAAGGTGGTGGCTCAATTCTCGTTTCAGTTTCTGATTCAGGGCGTCGACGTACATAGAGAAGCATGTGTCAAGTCTTAGGGTCTGACAACAATCTCTGAAACCAAAGAAATGCAATGTCGTGTTGTTTTTTTACAAATAAGGAAATGGAGGTTGTGGCACATTTATGGCTTCTTATTCAGCGCGTCGAAATACATAGAGAAGCATGTGTCAAGTCTTTGGATCTGACACCTTTTTTTTGTATGCCTGTGTTATTTATCATTTCAGCGGAAGCTATTTTACTGGGTATATTTTAACTAGATTCCAAGTGTGATGGCAATAACCTTCAGGTCGCTACATATATACCATCAATAGCCTTCAAAATTATTTTTTTCAAGAAACAATTTAATATTTTATGGCCTTCCAATGCACAAAGTGATCTATTATGTGCAAGAAAACAGACCCCAGTACATTGCCATTGTGAAGAAAAACAGCTTACAAGTTTAACTTAGAGAAATCAGTAAAAATGTTCAGTTTAATAGTTTTGTAAGCATAATATCCTCAATTATCAAAGATGACATCAAACCATTTACATCACGGTAGGCAACAAGTTTGTTTTCCATTTCAGAAAATGGATGTAAGTTCTAAGTATATTGCGACACTCACATTTCCCTCTAAAAGAAGATTCAACTGATGAAGTTCGAGGGCAAAATTTGGGCCCAGCTTTTTGGTAAACTCAGACTACGGATTAAGTCATTATGCTCTGTCTGAAAAACTTTATGAGGCTTACTGGGTAAGGTCAGTCCTGGTATTTTATGGTTCTTGTTTTGAAGACTGAGGCTGTTGTTTGGTCTCACCCTTCTTGTCTTCATCGGACTCATCCACATAATGTACTGGTAGGCTAGGAACAGACACACAATCTCTGTGTGGTACTGGTTACTACATGTAGTTGATATATTGGTGCACTTTTTTCTAGATATTCCACCATTCGGAAATCTCACTGACATGATTTGAAGGTTCTCGCCATAACATGGGAATGACGAAAGACATTGATCGTACTACATGTTCCAACAACCACTGAGATTTACTTACACAGTTATTACAGCAAAATTTGTGGTGCCCAATGTTTATTGTCTACTCTTTACAATCGAAATAATGTTAATACGCTGACTTTATTAATGATGTCAATTCACGTTTCGGTGATGAAAAATCACTTGACTGCACACATAACAAAAGTTACTTTTACTCGGGTAAGAGGTATAAAACAAATTAATTAGTTTAAGAAAATGTAGGTTATGTATGAATACCTTATGTCTTGTACATTCATGAAAATATATAAAAGTTTGTGCTTGTTTACATTTTATATTTACCTCACAAAAATTAATGTTATTAGAACTTCAAATACAGCAATTCACTGAGATACAACAGCAAATAGTTTTACCAAGCACAAGAAAAAAACGTTTATGTAAACTAAATGGTTAATAATATAAAAATAATATAGTTTATTCAGTGCCGACAATGTGTATCTGCTGCAAAATAAAAACTTACCAACATAAAATGGCCCTCTATGATAAAATGAAATGAAAGTTAACTGGAGTTTAAAATATCGTATTCGTTTATTTCACATCAAAATTAATAGAAGTAAACTGTACATAATGCAGAAGTATTTTGAGAGTATACCAGTGTAATCACCAGAATCTGCGACCTGCTAAAATTGCAAGTTCGAATTTCCCGCGCTTCTTTTGCTTACGAGTCTTTCGTGAGATAGCTGAAGGGTAGTTGGATACCACTTGCAATATTTGCATTCGAATATTAATTATTCATTACATAAAGAACGAGAAAATATGTGTTTTTGTAGCTGTTTTGAAAGTAGACGTATTAGTAGTTTTGTTGTAAATATGACAGCGGCTGAGTTCATACCTGGTCGCAATACGAGAATGGCATGGCCGCGCCAGGGTAGTTTGAAATTTAAGGAATTTACTTCTCATTCTTAGTCTACAGTATTTCTCTGTGTGTGGAATGCTGTTTTAGTCTGTCGAATGTGTGCTGATTTATTAGCTTTAAAATAATTCATTTTCGCACCTCTTATGTTACGATTAGTAATGAGTTTCACAAGTTATAGCAGAGGTATGTTAGTATGGACAGGAAGCGATCTATCATAATATTATATAACAGTCTCTAACACGAGTGCGTACTGTTGTAGCACTGTTAGCTTGCCATTGCACTTATGGTGATGCATTTGAAATAACGAAGTTACACATGTGATTGTTCCCTCTGATTATGGTGAAAATATTAAACAATGTTACATATGGTATTTGCTCTTGTTTGTATGAAGATCATCGTGCACTGGTTACGATATCTATAATTGGCGGGTCACATTCGGACGTGGTCAGATTTAATATACGAATATACTAAGAGATTGAAGAACTGGTTCTATCATACATCAGGGGCAATTATCATATGACAACTAAATTAAATATTTCCCACCACTTGATTATTGGCAGAATGTACATATTTTTGACCCCTTATATGCTTCAGAAGTTTGTAACATTTATACTGATACCCGTATTTAGATTGACAACGTGACATTATTCTTTAGAAATTTGCATATTTACAACGTATATATTTCCCTAATTTTTGTATACTTGCATACATTTTGCTTCAGCTCTAGTTGGCACTCTGGGTGCGGTGTGAAGAACGCTGTTGGCTTGTGCACAGGGTTTGCGGAAGGGCTTGCTGGTGGGGGTGGCGCTGATGGCGGTGGGCACGTGGATCAAATGCGGGTCTGCGGAGCCCAGCCGCTACGCCGTTACGCTCACGGGCCAGACGTTCGTGGGCATGTCGCAAGCCTTCCTGCTGAGCGTGCCGCCGCATATCGCCTCCACCTGGTTTGGGTCGGACGAGGTGTCTACAGCATGCTCGCTGGGCATCTTGGGTCTTCAGGTACACTGTTTACTCGTTTGTTCTTTGCCAAATGTGTGTTTTCGCCATAAGAGTATGGCTTATAACAATGTATATATGAGCAGTGTTAGGAAATTAAAATAGAACCTGGTACATATTTATAAACCCGAAAGGGAACGAACAATTGAGTAATGTACTGGGTTACTATGGAAGCAAGTTTGTATTGAGAGCGGCTGTATAGGGTTCGTGAGAAATGGAAGCATGCGGACTAGTCGTAATATTTAAAGTGAAATATTTGTTTAAATACCCAATTAATAACATCTATAAGATATTAGAAGATTGCTGAAACCTTGGAGAAGGTATTAGGTATTAATTATTCGGTGGTTCAAGAATACAGAACAAGATTTCTGCAACTCGGATCAGATTACATTGATTAGCCACCCTGAACTTACGAACGATAGATTTTCTTTCTTTTTTATGTGTTCTATTTGGCATTATCTCAAGAGTGAGGGGAACGGACGTTGGGAAAGTGGAAAGCAGTGGCAACTGAAATTATTGAAAAAAAAAAGGGAAAAAATGAAACACGTACGCGGAAGCCTATGGGGGCATAAACTGTTGCGGGGCGGATGTTCACCTCGCAGGTGACTCTCGACGGTGAAACCTACGACTTGATATATTAGACACAGAACGTAACAATCAGAACCGTTTTAAATTTTTTCCAAATTAAAACACATTTAAAGAAAAACAAATAAAACTAAATAACTAACACTAAAGAACAATGAAAGACTAATCAACATTAAAAAGCTTGAAACTACAATAAAACAACCAAATGTGAACTAAAACAAACATTTTGGAGAATGTTCCTATGAATTTGCGCATAAGTTAGTAAAATATATTGTCCATAACTGAAAAGATTAAGATTTCTTTGGTAGTAATCTTTGATAGTCTGCGTGAGTGAAGAGTGTACAGCGTGCTCGACTCCTCGGCTTCCTCCGAAGGTTTGCGAATTATTGAACGACCGCGCAAACGCAAAGAAGGGTACTGTGTTTGTCTGTGGATATTTATGTTAATTCCTTTCCACCTAGCACTCATTTGCACCTATCGCTCCAGAGTATTTATGGCAGGCCTAGGCAGACGAGATCGTTGAGGGCGAAACGCGCCTCGGCTAGAAGGGTCGCAGGTTCGAATTCCGACGCAAACATGTATGTATACTTGCGTTGTGATATGGTGGAGCTCTTTCACTGTCTACCTTTTCGTGCTAGAATCGTGGTCCTTCCCCATTATTAGGCTAAATGCAGCCGGGACGGGTCAACGGAATACATCGGCAATGGAACGGGAAAATGTGTCTGCCCGGGAATGACCTACGGGCTATCGTGGCAACGGAGGTGGGAGAGGATTCCATTCCGATAAAAGGACATACGAGACCCTCGAAAGGGCGACGGGAAGGTATTTCCAGCGAGCACTCTCAGAAGGGTGGGCGTCAGAATAGGGGTAGGGGTTGCTAACAACTGATTGATGTTTCCAGGCGCTAAATGATATGGTTGTTAGTCCCGTTAGTGTAGTGAATGTTTTATCTCTAGGAGATGGTGGTGATTTCTTCCCGCTTGGATGGTGAAATACGGCGTCGGCCTGTACGTAGGCTTGCGGGTACTTTTCCACTCCAAATAGTATCTCCCCCGGCAGGGCATCGTCCCAGTTGGGATAAGCTCTGGACTTGAATGGTCTCCCGACATGTATGTGTTTGTGTATCCAAAGGGAAAGGATAGAACAAAGCAGAGGAAGGAAATATCGCGTGCAGTCCTTAGTCCTTTTGTTGGGCTGCATCTCCGGCATTCGCCTTGTATTGATCGATGAAACCACGTAAAACTACCGATCAGAGTAGACGGCCGGTAGAATTCTCCTCAGCGGTTGAATTCGACCAAGATTTCTAACTGGTGTGATTAGCTGGTCCACCACCGTCGAGAGTCGAACCCTAGGTCCTTCTGGTCAAAGTTGCTTTTAGAGACAGTTGCATTGATGAGTTAAAGTCAGCGAGCCGAAAGTCAGGTCTACGAGCCGAAATGTAACATCAACATAATAAACCAAACCAGACCGGTTAAGAAATATTTACTCCTTATTGTTACGAGAGCGTTCCGGAGAACGAGATGTATTGAATTCTAATTTCAAATATAAGCTTTATGGAAATAAAGTAGATGGATCCATGTGAATAATCTCACGCCATCCAGAAGAAGATAATTTAGTGGGTTTTCTATCGACAGCAATTGTAAGAAGACCGTCTCCCCTCAAAAAAGTAATAGAAAGTTCAAATAGGTCACAGTTTCATAGGTCACGAATCACCAGTGATATGTGACTATAACAATTCGTTCTCGCTAGTTTCGCTGTTATATTAATGACTAGAATGAACTTTGAATCTCTAAAACTTCTTTACGGATCGAGCGTATTGATGATAGTGAGGTGGCGTGTTTATTTCTCGCCCGGAAATTTGCGCCGAGTACTACTTTCAGTGAGTTTGTAGCGCCTCCGCAATCGAATTCATAGGGCGACTGCCCTGATCAGTGGTTTCCATGGTCTCCCTCATCAGAGATGTCAATGCAGTACCTGTGACCGGGAGGTCCTTGGCTCGAGTCTCGACGGTGACAAGATTTTCGGATCTAGCTTGTCAGCTAGATCGAATTCAGACGCTGTCTGGAGGTGAATTATAGCGGCAAGTTGCTCTGATCAGTAGTTTTTCCGATCAATCCGTGGTATCTCCGATCAACATGAAGCAAAAGACCTAACAAACGGGCCACGCGCAATCTTTCCTTCCTCTTCCTTGTCCTCTCCTCATCCCTTACTTACACACACTTAAGCTAACAGGCACCACATCACTACACTTGCTAGGAGGCTGGTCGGAAGCGTAGAGCTCGACTGAGGCAGTGTCCCACTGGACAGATACCTGGTTGCGGAAAACCTCGCCAGCCGACGATAGGTTGGCGCTGGATCTCGCCATCTAACGAGGGAAGATAGTCGCCACCTCCCGAGGAAAAACGCACTACACTTAAGGGACTAATGACCTTAGCAGTTTAATCCCGGAATCAGTAGCAATCAACCAATCAATACTTCAGGCGACTGCCGGAGTATCACTCCAAAACACGGGTCAAGTACAGCGCACGATCATTTCTTCCCTATCCTGTCTTCATTCCCCATCCTAAGGGCCGAACGATGAGGCTATCACCCACCCTCAATTGGGAACCCCCCCACAGATTTCAAAATACTCATTTCGTCGTGTGTCTAGTGAGATAAGTCATGGCAGAACTGGAAGTGTTGAGCTGTAGAAAGAGGAAGAAGGCATGATAAAGCGGGCGTTCTGTTTGTGCGCAGCTGGGCGTGGCCGCGAGCTTCCTGGCGCCGTCCATGATGGTGGGCAACCACGAGAACCTGGACGACGTGGGCCGCGATCTGGCCCGCATGTTCTACATCGTGGCGGGCGTATGCACAGCGCTGCTGCTGCTCACCGCCATCTGTAAGTCCGCCTCTTCCCAATTCTGCTCGCGGTTAACGACCGCAGCCTCGATTTAGAGTCGTGACAACTAAATTTAAGGCTCTTTAGGAGAAAAGATAGCCATTGGATTTCACGGTGTCCAGAATAGGCTGCAACCAAAGGAATGAAACTCTCAGTGGCACCAATTACATATTTTTTCAAATTATTTCAGAATTAAAATAGTAGAGTCTAAAATAAAATTAGCAATAAATGGTGCAATCTAAACGTTAGGAATTAAAACATGAAACATTTTATGGATTTAGTTCTCTTGCAATATTTTAATTTTTTTCATGAATGTATTTCCTTAATCTTAGCGATTTGCTCCTAGTATGTTACGAAAATCCACTCAAGTTTTAATAATATAATTCAATAGAAAATAATCATAATAATAATATAACCTCAAGCCGTAAATAATATATTACAAATAATATACTATTAAATTAGACTAGTTGGTTCGATAAAAAACAGATGCACTTTGTACTTCGTTTAAAAATTGAAAATAGGATACTGGTTACGAACTTAAAGTAGGAACCTGAACTGCTCATTGAATATTAGGCCTGTCATGAATGGTTTGTTAACACGTCAATAATGTTTTGCAGATATTTCGAATCTCTGGGTGTTTCTGACCATTCTACTTCGGAGAATGGAGCAGAAGAGCTTAATCTTTACTCAATTCTTAGCTTCACCTGACCCCGCATGCTTCCTACATGCCTCCCGATACATTCCCCTTCCACTACCCCACATATTCCCTCTCGTGTTCACCCCATGATATCTCGGGTGTTCACCATATATACACCTCATTTACTGCCATACTTTTCCATGTGACCCCATACATGTTTTCTAACATGTTTATCACAGGTTCACAAGTGAGAAACAAGTGTTCCCCAAATTGGTTTCACGTGTTCCTCCAAATATACCCCTACATGTTTTCCCAAATGTTTCCTCAGATGTTATCCAGTGCATTTTCTCGCACTTGATAATATGTAAGTTAAACAGGAAATTCAAAACTGTTTAATCCTGAGGATATATTTTCATGAACTTTACGGTGGCATGTAATGCAGTGCCCTGCCAGATGAAAGGGGACGTTCTGAAGAGCTAGAATATCCAGAAGTGCGAAAACCCAAGAATATTGGCCCCGAAGATTTTTCGGTAAATTTGAAATATTCAATCCACGAAATATTTTGCAGATCGTACCTGCACGCCTTTTGCCGATTAGAGGCCGTGATCGCTAAATCAATAGTGCCGTAGCGGTCTCGGACCAGAAGATCGTGGGTTCGTGTTCCACCTCGGGCATGGTTGTATTGTGTATGCCTGTATATATGTGACGTCCTTTCACCCCTCACCAACATCATCATTTCATCTTCCGTATCTCCAGGTCTAACAACCCTGAGGGATAAAAATAGGATCTAGCTAAATGCTGATTCCATGATAAATTACATGTTACTGATCCCCGATGAATACAGAGCGCATGCACGCGTGGTTCAAGTCGGCCTATTCTCGAGAAAAAAAAAGCCTTTCATAGATTACGGTATTCAAAACATCACCCTTATGGGATGCCCTTACGGCCTTACAAGGACACAAAAACTTTTAACTCTCCAGGATCCATCGTTTCCGAGATATGCATGATGGTACAGTGTGTTGCGGCGTTATGTGTTTTGCGATTTGCATGTGCGCCTCAGAATACAAATATGGTATAGATAGCTAGATACATTTATACACTAACGTGTTTTTGTTACCAATGTTTCTCATAAAGAGGAATAATCCGCCATCATCCTTTAGTATGTTGTGTAAAGAAGGGATTATTAATGGAGATAATACAATAACACGATAAATTATATCCGTGGCTTGGTGCAAGAAGGGCCAATGTCAGTTTTTAGTGATTTTCGGCTTGTATGGTCAATGTATGCTTTAAAGACCCTTCTTTCAGTGCAAAAAACGCCAAAGTTAAAAACCTATCATATCGCATGATTTCACTATCAATCTTTACGTTTGCCTTCGATTTTATAGTCATTTCGATGGTTTAAGTAGACCTATTCTGTAAAAATTTTAATATTGATTTTGGTCTTTCTTGCACCATGTCATTAATACATAATATAATAATATATATTAAAATTGCTATGATTTAGAGTGGAATAATAAATAATTATGTGTAAGTAAGGGGTGAGGATGGGACAAGGAAGAAGAAGGTAAGATCATGCACGGTCCGTTTGTTAGGGTATTGCGTCAGCATTCGCCTCATTCGCCTGGTGTTAATCGAAGAAACCACGGAAAACCAGATCAGAGCATCTGCCCGCTGGAATTTTCGTCAAGACAGCGACCGAATTCGATTTAGCTGACAAGCTAGAGTCGAGAAATCCTGCCACCGTCGGGTCTCGAATCTAGGACCTCCCGGTCAGAGGCACCGCAGTGACATCCGTTGATTCCCTAAGCCACCTCTCATGATGTCATGAAATTACTCTTGGCAGTTTAATGAGGAAGATCGCAATCCCTAGTAGAGGCATGTGCGCATCGGAGGAGGTACAGGAAGACCATGCCCTCCCTCCTGAAAATTTTGAAAAGATCATCGTAGCTCTACGTTATAAAACATTTTTATTTCCGTAAATATGATGAACTTCCAACTTATTTCCCATCTTTGGCTGGTAATTTGAAGAATTGATAAAAATTAATTGGGGAAGGAGCTCTCCAAGCCATTAGCTACCTTGTAAATTAATGTTCAGCGTAAAATCAATAATTGTATTAATTATTTGTAAAGTTGTAAATACATTTTCCTTGTATACTTTATTTATTTTCTAGTGAAATGAATATGTAAATAAAAAAGTAATAAAAAAAGAGGCCCATAAATGAAGATGCCACCTTTCTTGTACGTCAGCGAACGACTATGATTACTTGCGTTCTTTTAGCTTGCAATGTCGGCTATGAATAATGTAGGGCCTTAAGACAGAAGTGAGTCAACAACCCCAACCACTCGCATTGAAAGTAACTAAATATCCCATATTTATGACGTGATGTGGTACATAGTCCTACAAACAACTAAGGAAGCAAAATATGTGTAAAAGACGATTCTAGGAAGGTCATCAAAAGCCTTTAAGGCATGAATCATTCTTTACTAGGCTGTCCGGGTGACGCCGCGTCCATGGCGAAGGTGCCGACGTTTCGGTCGCCATTCTGCGACCTTCCTCAGCGCGTAATGCTGGTCGCAGAGGCCCTGAGGAAGGTCGCAGAATGGCGACCGAAACGTCGGCACCTTCGCCATGGACGCGGCGTCACCCGGACAGCCTAGTAAATAGTGATTCCGGCCGCGGAAGGCTACGCTCTCACATGAATCATTCATTTCTCAGAGTGACACGCATTACCCAGAGCTCGGTTTCAACGGCATAGCAGGAGATCTTTTCACAATAATGTGATAATGCGTTATTCCTTCAAGCCGGAAAGGAAATTTCTCGAACTTCTGTGAGGTGAACACCTGTCGGTCATTGACACTTAACTGTTCTTTCCTAGCTGGCTTTTCCCCAAATAATGTTTCGTGACGTATATAACGATCATATCGTACCAGAAAGTGAAACAGTTGGAATGCAGTTATATTTTAAAACCCCATATCTTTTCTCACTTAATGCGCCAAAGTTCTGACACTTATTTTAGCATCTTGTAAATATGCAAGGTAAAGCATAGCTCATTATATATTAATTCAGAACAAAGTAGTCTAAAAGATGGCGGGTGGTTAGGCGGAAGAGCAGGCCCTATGGCCTGAGCCTCGCCATTAGTAAAGACATTATTATTATTATTATTATTATTATTATTATTATTATTATTATTATTATTATTATTATTAAAAGATAGGTAAGATGTGATGAACAAAATCAAGTGTTTTTAAATGGTAAGTTCCGTTAATACGTAGTCATGAGCATAAATATAATACACTTGATAATAAAATTTGCATTTTTAAATCTTCAACCCAATTATATTTTAATTTTTATTAAACTCATTTGATTATTAAGCTAAATCATTTAATGAATTAAATATTCACAGAATTTTGCCGTCAATCGATTTCTCGGTATCAAGAACCAACAAAGCATAGATTCTGGCCACACCACGAGTTAGAGCATTTTTTTTCTAAATTAAGCAATAGGATTTATCCACTATTTCGTTACCAGGACCCGACAATAATTTTTTTTCTGGCGAAATTTCGCCGTTTTCTGTCGAACAATTACATAACTTTCTCTTCTTAAGAAGAATTCGTAAGGTGAGAAAGTAAAAATAACTGAAACATATTTTTTTCAAAAAGTGCTCAAAATCTGTTCTTTACATTTTTGTTAATGATAGTGCTTAATGACCTCTATGGGATCAAATAATCATCAGTCTTTTGTTTTTTCAAAAATTATAAAATTGTAATTTTATTGAATTGTCTCTCGCCTGGTTAATATTTACACTAGCGTAGTTTGTTCACATTCACATGTTACATGTGCTTTAAATAATGTCATATAAAGTTTCTCGAAAACTCATCCGTTTTCTGTGAAAACCAGCTAGAAATTCCACATTTTCATAAACGCTCAAACGCAATTTTCTCAAAAATGTCTCCATTTTTTTCAAACGTTTCCAGTAGCTAGTGCTAATTGCACTATTTATATAGTAAATATGATGTAAAGTTAATTTTGCGGTAGTTGTTTTGTTTTTTCGAAAATGTGTTTCGAAATGTGTTTTTTTTTTAAGATTTCTTACATTAATATGCGCATTTCCAGCAATTTGTAAACACTGTTGTATTTGTGAGTTAAAGCTCTTTAAAAGTTGTCCAATAAATTTTTTTTTCGAAAACTCAAAGATTTTCTGTGAAAATGTGCTCCAAATTTCGAATTTATAGAAGCACTTAAAAGTCATTTTCGTAAATACGGCACGATATTTTTCAAAGATAACTGCCATTTAGTACTACGTTTTACTGTTCTTGAATATTTCTAAAATAATATTCCCGGTCTACTATTAGTATACCA